TGGTTAAACTTGACCAAGTAGCCGGTGATGGCACAAACTCCTGGAGCCTGACCTTCAGTACTTTATTTTAGGCAAGTTTTTGTTTGTTTGTTTGTTTGTTTGTTTCCAGTTTTTCAAGACAGGGTTTCTCTGTATAGCCCTGGCTGTCCTGGAACTTGCTCTGTAGACCAGGCTGGCCTTGAACTCACAGAGATTCAATTGAGTGCAGGGATTGAAGGCATGTGCCACCAGCACTCAGCTTATTTTGTGCATATTTAAGCACAGTGCAATTTAGTGGAAAATTTCCTGATGATAATTAATGCAATCCATATGCACAATAAAACCTAAAACATGACTACATTGGAACTCTTTGTAAAGTATGTGTGACATCTTCCATAAAGATAGGTTCTGTAGATTGACAAGCTCATAATAAGGGTCTGGGGAGGGTACGGTGTGGTCTTGGCCACACAGATAGCACAAAGGTCACCAGGCTATTAACCGCATCTGCTCCCAGCCTTCTGGGTGGGTAACAGGTTATGCATCCCTTCCTCTGAAGGAACAACTAACCCTGTGTGTTTAACATTCCTGCTTCCCGTAGAGCTTATCTGTGAGCACGCCGACCTCTGTGTCTCCCACAACCCTCCTCCCTCTTATTTCTTAAAGAGAAAATTGTGGCTGTAATAGAGGCCAAGGCTTAATGTGGTCCCTGCATGGCTAGCCTAACTAATACAGGCAATCATAACAGAATTATAAGAATAGTTAATATTGTTTACCTCTGTATGAAGATTTTTAATTTGGCCGCCAATAGTATGAGAGAAATGTGACACATTAAAGCAATATATACTAGTTTGACAGCTACCATTATGCTTGAGCAACAAATAATCTAAAGTTCTCTATTTTGTAAAAATGTGGTTCTCAATTCTCTCATCACTTGGCTAATTTCTGCTAATGTTTTTGTTGTAATATTAGTAGTTTTACTAATCATGCAGGCCATATTTGAAACCACTCATGGTATTCCAGTATTCATTCCTGGGACTGGTAATAAAAACGATTAAAGCAATGTTTAGTGTGGCAAAACAACATCATACTGTCTCCCATGACCTATTATATAAAAAGGTGCGACTTTTATCCCCCCCACTGACAAAAACTTGTATAGATTCTGCATTGACAAGTTGAGAATTAACATGTAATGTCGTCAGTATACATAACAGCATCATGTTTCTGCAGTAGTATCGAGTCCTTTTCCTGTCCCCATGCTGTTATCTTGATGGGTTTGCCTTCTACCTCCAGATGCTTCATCTGGCCAGTGGCCTGTGGGGTGCTGTCCTGGTCGGATGCATTAGAGTGCAGCCACCTGGGACTGTGTTCGTTTTCTAGAAAAACGCAAGCATAGCCTTACTCTAATGTCAGAAGAACACCAGGCTCTTTCCACTGATTAGTTTCTAGGTCTTTCCGTTTAACATGCGTGTTAGGCTATGTCTCCTTTAGGGCAAACTGCTTTGAGGCAATAGAAGAAGCATTATACTTTCAAGTGAAAAGATTTAAAGTTAGCATGGCTAAATGTAGCATGCATGTGGGGATTTAGGTGAGTCTATGTATCCCTCTCTCTCTCTCTCTCTTTTAATTTGCTGTTTAAGAATTTAATGGTGTTGTTCCACAACAGCTTGACCCCATGGGTTATAAAGGATTTTCAGTAACAACTAATATTCCATAAACTGCAAAATTCTTTAAATCCTGCTCAGATAAGTGGGAGTCCTAGAATGGAAGTGCATAAAGGTCTGCTTGACAAAGTTAAGTCCCAGATGTGACACAGTGGTATTTTCCTGGCGCCCCCAGGGCCCCATGCCACGCTTGGGGCTATGCTTTGCAGCTGACTAGTCAGGGACAGGCACTGTGCACGCTGTAGTGCAGTGTGGCACACCTCTGTGTACCTGGCAGCAGAGAGGGCCCCAGACACATCACGCTAGCTCCAGCTGTCAAGCTGATGTGAGGGTGAGGATCACCCACTAACTTATGCACCAGGAGCTTGGAATACCGTGCAAAACATGTCTTCCATAGAGCCTAGGCTCTCGTGAGCTTTCTCTAACTTCTACGCTTGCCAGAGTCTAATCATTTATGTCAGATCTAGGCAAGGGCAAAACTGAAAAACAAACAAACAATGTTTTATTGTCTTAATTAACAATTAATTAATTATCTAAATGTGTAAAGATGTAAACCTAAGGCTATTTACAGAAGATTTTGGGTTCTTCAAAGTTCAGGGCAATTTTAATTCTGAGCTCGAGAAGACTCTTCCTACTAGTTAATGGGGTTCTAAGAAGTACCCAAGGAATAATCACAGAAAATCCTGAAGGAGGAAACAATTGTTTTCCCAGGCAAGCATCAAAGTGAATGCTTAGCTAATACTGTAAACGAGATAAAGCTGTGAACTTCATCAAAGTACAATAGGTCCATGGAGGAAGGAGTTGTTCTGGAAGGTCCTAGGTCACTACATTTCACAGTTAGTCTGTTCTGTACCGTAAACAACTTTTTGGGGGAGGGCTTGTTTGTTGTTTATTTTTGCTTTTCGAGACAGGGTTTCTCTGTGTAACAACCCTAGTTGTTCTGGAACTTGCTCTGTAGACCAGGCTGGCCTCTAACTCACAGAGATCCACCTGCCTCTGCCTCCCAAGTGCTGAGATTAAACGCACTGCTGATTTTATCCATCTCATGGGCTCTTTTTACATTAGCATCCCTGTGTTCCCAGTTGTCAGCAGTTTGGGAAATCAAGGACTGGATCCACAGTTACTTGCACAGAGTTCCAGGGCTTTTGCTCTGAGTGGTTTGTTTGTTTGTTTGTTTGTTTGTTTTCGTTCCTCTGGGTCTTAACGAACATCTTGGTAATTGTATAAAATGCTTTGCCTCGAGGACTGAGAAGGATCCGTGTTATTTGACTCTCACTGTGCAGACTCCTTGAGTGAGAAAGTGACTCCCTACTCCCTGCTTTCATTTAAAGAAAAACTTTCCTACCTTCTCTGAGGGTTGAGCCCCACACTGGGTGCTAGCTTCGGGGTTATGCATTCCTTTCTTTGAAGATGCTTGTCTGTGAGCACAAGGACCTACATGCCTCTCATGGAGTATCTCTTACCAACCAGTGCCCTGACACAAGGCTCTGTGGTCCAGGCCTGCTGGAGGTCACAAGGGACCCACAGAAAGGCTAGTGGCCTTGACAGGAACCAGGGCAGGCTGAATGAGCTTGGCCCTTCCCAGGGTTGCTTCTATCTGGCGCATGTGTGTAAACAGGGGTGAGCCGAGGTTCTAGATGTGTCTTTGAAGGCTAGGGGTGACCCTGGCTCCAGGGTCATCAGTGGGCACGGATGTAGGCAGCAGTGGGTGTTGGAGGGGAGAGTCTGTGCCATAGTACCCGATGGAGAGTGGAGAGATGGGTTGCCATGGCAACAGCACAGTCCACAGGGGCTCACTGCCTTCCGGAGGTGCAAAATGGCACACAACATGCTCACCCAATGTGTCCACCCTGACCCCCCCCCCTTACATTCACGTGACTCTCGGGTGTGAGCATACAGTGGCATTTGTGTGGTATGGGCTGGTTCACATACATACATACATACATACATACATACATACATACATACATGCAGGGCCACACATACATGTACAAGGCACATGCATGCAGGCAGGCACAGAAACCTTGCCTGCCAAGGCCACTGGAAGGGCATTGGCCCAGAGTGTGGACCGGTCCCATGAAAGTGCCTGCCTCCCGAGGAGTTTTGGCTACTGGCTGTTTACCCTACCACGGTGTTACCCACCTTCTGCTTTGCTGGCTGCCCTGTACCCTTGTTCCTTAGCCCCGGCCCCTACCCCAGCTCATGGGACCTGCTCATCTCTAGGTGCAGAGTGGGAAGTATTCACAGGCACCCAAGTAGAAATCTCAGCCAGTGCTCTTGGCCTTCAGGCTCACGCTTCCTCCAGGCAGCCTTCCCAAATGCTTTGTCTATGAGCTGAGTCTGGGTCCCCCCAAGTGTGTAGTGTCCCTGCCTCGGTGGCAGAGTGAGTGAGTCAGCGGCTGCAGAGACTCAGCACCCAGAGGAGCTGGGTGCTCTGGATTGCTAGGAGTTTAATGAGGACCTATGGAACAGAGAAGGCCTCTAGGGACAGAGGGTGACTCAGAGCCTGTGTTCTGAGGAAGGGCAGGCCCACAAGGCACAGCCGTTCCCAAGCATATGCCTTCCCATCCAGCAGACATCCTGCGATGCCCTAGCCCCATAAGCTAGCTGTAGTTACCACAGCTAGCGCCCCCCCCCCCAGCCTTTGACTGTGAAGGGGTGACAGTGAGGGCTGGGGCTTGTGTTCTGCTGTCCTAAGCACCTGGGTATTCCCATCTGAGATGTGCTGGCTTATTTGGATCAGGGGCTAAAGGAGGGAGGAGTTTCTGCTCCCCTGGGGAGCTGGGGGACAAGCAGAGGCTTGCATGCGGGGCGCTCTGCCACCCAGCTGAAGCGATGCAGCTTCTCAGTGCCAGCGAGATCTCTGCACCTTTGAGAAGCAGGGCCTTTGGTGGCCTTCAGCCCCAAGGTGGGCCGAGTGGTAGAGCGGGGTCCGGAGCCATGAGTGTGGATATTTTCATTTTTATTTTTTTACATGTGTGGATGTGTTAGCCTAAAGCCCTGTCTGAACACTGTGTGTACCCAGTGCCAATGGAGTCCAGAGAGGGCTTTGGATCTGCTGGGACTGGAGTTGGGGTAGTTCTGAGCCGTCAGGTGGGTGCTGGGAATTGAACCCTAGTCCTCTGGAAGAGTAGCCAGCACTCTTCACTGCTGAGCTGTCTCCAACCCCGACAGCGAGTCTCTTTACGGCCTAAGACCCTAACATAGCAGTGAGGTGTGCATGGCCGCACACACTGGCCACTCCTCTAGGGCCGTAGCTCTGGCTAACTGAAGAGGCTCGGTCGGCTCAGGTGCAGGGTCAGCGCGAGGGCGAGGGGCGGCGTCGGAGGCTGAGAGGGGGCCTGTGCTCTGTTCTTGCAGACGGCGCTCCGCTCAGTGAGCTGTCCTGGTCATCCTCCCTCGCCGTGGTGGCTGTATCATTCTCGGGGCTCTTCACTGTCATCGTCCTCATGCTGGCCTGCCTGTGCTGTAAGAAGGGCGGCATTGGGTTCAAGGTGAGGACACAGGATCCTAGGGGCCTGCTGTGTCCACCCGCCGCCCAGCTCCCCTTCATCCTGGGGCTGCCATGATGGTTGATTTCTCTGGAGACACCTGGGATGAGCTGAACCAACCCCTTGTCTGGCATCCCACGGCCCCTCTTCTGGGGGCCCCCTGCCCCTCAATTAGGGGCCTCCTTTGTAGATATGGCTCATGCTGTCCCATTCCAGCACCGGGCCAGGCCTGTCAGCATCCAGGGAGGCTAAAATGACCTTAAGAAGCCTTTCAGGGCTCTTGAGAGCGCTCACTGGCCGTAAAGACACCATGAGGTCTCTGCTCACTGAGTCAGAGGGAAGGCAAAGCCACCGACGTCCTTCCCCAACGCCCACACCGTCATTTGGGAGATCCCTAGCTTGGGCATCTTTGACTCAGAGGTCATCCATTAGGTTCCAGAAACAAGGGTTTGCTGCTACAGCAGCCATCCTATTTTTAGTCCACCGAGGGCCTTGCAGCCTTTGCTACAACCTCCCTAGGACCAGATGCCACAGCTGAGGCCTCCACTCTAGGGAGGGGGGCCCAGGGGCATCCCTGCATATTTCCAGCCCCATGGCCACGCCTGTCAGGACAGAAAGCACAGAGCTGACCTTCCAGGGCTGCAGGGGGCTAAGGCCTTGCCTGTCAGCACACTGAGGCCTGGCCAGGGCCCTTGTCATTCCTGCACCCACGTTGGGTGGCAGAGTGGGCAGGAGGTGGGGTTTCTACTGCAGAGGTCAGGGTGGAGGAGGACTTGTATATGGGGGGCTCCTCCTACTGGGTAACCTGTGCCAAACGCTGTTAGCCTTTCGTAACACGGGCCCCCAGACAGACAGGGGAGTTAGTACCTGAGTGGCACCGCCCTGGGCCCCCCACCCCCCACCCCAGGGGAAAGTCTCCTGACTACAGGCTGGGCAACTCAGGAGAGTTGCTTTCCTGGAGGAGCTTGAGGGCAGAGCTGCAAGGTCGTGGGGGTGGGGGTGGGAACCCAGGGTGCGGCTTTGCTGGCCATTGTGTAGCAAGCCCCTCCTGGGGCACCAAGAACAAGGCCCCACACAAGGGCTGGCCGCAGCCCCTCCTACCCATGCCCTTCTCCCCTCGGAACATGGTGCCCAGAACATTCCAGCACCACTGTGTCTTGACGGGAGGGTCACTGCCTCCTGCTTCCACAGTGGGCTCCCTGCTGGAGCTGTCCTGGGCAGGGGCTGGCAGCCCTGATGCTCACTCTGTGCTATCTGATCGCCCGCTGTGCTGGGGGAACCCTGCTGGCTCTCCAGCATGGGAAGGTAATGCCTGGAGCCAGAGCTAATGCAAAGGGGGGAGTGGGCATCGCAGGCCAAGGTGTGTGGAACTAGAGGAAATAATAAGGTGGTCTTCTAGACTCTGTGCGTGGGGGGTTGCCACAGATGTCACAGGCTCTGCTCTCAGAGTACAGACCTGGGCTAGCCACCAGGAACATGGGGCCACCCCACTTACAGAAAGACAAATGAAGAGAAAGAGAAGAGGTCCCAGGGTATAGTTAACTGTCCACAGGGACGTGGCCTGGAGCGGGTAGCCAGGCTCTGGTCGGCACCCAGTCCTCCACTGTCAGAGCCTCAGCCCCCCACCTGGGCAGGGGGTGCGGGTGGGACAGAGTGCCGTGGCCGGGAGACTTGCCCAGTGCCGAGGACAGGCTGGACTTGTTTTCACTCTGCCCCTGGTTTGTTTGTGGTTCTAGGCAAGTGTTCTGCCACTAACCCTGCCTTTGCTTGAAACTAGGCTGTGGCCCCTCCCTGACTAACTCTGCTTGGGAGGTGCCCAAGATGCAGTGGGGTGGGGGTGATCTCTACCCTGCAAAACAGCAGCCTGTCCCAGAGTGGCGCCCAGGGGTGCCCAGCTGCAGGCTCTTACGGGGCCTGGGTGCAGCAGGGAGGGGACTCCACTGCCTAGACGCAGGTGGTAGAGACAGGAGTGAGGAACAAGTCCCTGGGTGCTTTGTTCCCTGTCCCGCTAGGTGGGGGGGGCGTCTAATTATCTCCCAGGGATGTGTAAGGAGCTCCTGACCATGAGCCTCCTCCAAGCCAGGTGGGGACCACTGATGGGGTCCGTGCAGGGTTGCTCTGATTCTGTTCCTTGAGCCCTGTCTCTAGCCCTCCCCCCAGGCAGGACTCAGCCTGAGTTGACAACCCCAGCTGAGGCTGAGGCCTTCCGCCCCTCCTGGGATGGTGTTCTGGAAGAGGCAGGGCCCATGAACAGGTGTGTCGGGGCCATCCAGCAGGGGTACCCGCTCTAGCCCTGTGTCAGTCCAGTTGAACTGTGGGAAACGGGCCTTTCACATCCTGTCACGTCTCCCCTGACCTTCTGTGGTGCCTGACCGCCCACCTGTGCTGGCCCAACCTGCAGGAGTTTGAGAATGCGGAGGGGGATGAGTATGTGGCCGACTTCTCGGAGCAGGGCTCCCCGGCCACAGCTGCGCAGAACGGCCCCGATGTGTACGTCCTACCCCTCACCGAAGTCTCCTTGCCCATGGCCAAGCAGCCGGGTCGCTCAGGTAGGTGGACCTGTCTCCCTCCTCCATTGTATCCTGTGGTCGGTAGGCTATGGAAGCCTGAGGACTTGGTTCTGGAAGTCGGTGCAGACAGGGATAGGGACACAGTGGGTATTATGCGGTGGGAGGGCCAAGGCCTCCTTGGCTGCATCTCAGGATGGGCTGGGTTGGAGTTTCGCTAACTCCCTCCTGGATCTGGGGGCCAGCTGTCGGCGGGCTTGAGGGTAGCCTGGCAGGTGGCCCAGTACTCTGGTTCTAGGATTATTTGCCCTTCTCTGCTCTTTCCAAGATGCTAACCCCTAGACTCTGGTTCCCTTGCCCAACCTTATAGAGATGTAGCCTCATTGTGCTTGCCAGACGGGGCCCTCCCACACAGCGAAGGGAGTGTGAGCAATACAAGGGTTCTGGTCCCACCTGGGGGCAAGTGTAGGCCTTCCTCCCAGAAGTCTTTCCCCCTAGGCTAGTTCCCTCCTCCTCCTGCAGACCCTAGAGGCCACAGGTCAGTGGCTGAGTCTCAGAACCCAGCTCTGCCCTGGTCAAGGTGGTTGCTTGGCACTATGGCTACCTCGCCTCGACAGCAGTCTGCTCTCAGGCCTTTCCAGCCTAGAAAGTTCAGTCAAGGGCTGATCCTCAGTGTCCGTCTGATGGCTCCAGGGATACTGAGGGGGGAGTCAAGCTGCGGGTGCTGCTGGCCCCAAGGTCTCAACCCTGGGCCAGCCCCCCACCAAGTCCCTCCAACCAAGGACCCAGCCTCCACCTAGGGCTAGAGGTCTTAGTACCTGTTTGAGCCAATAGAGACTTAGGCCCTCCGGCCACCAGCCTGGCCCAACGCCGCAGGCATGCTCCATGGTCCTTCATGGCGGAAAGCTCAAGAGTCAGGCAGGATCCAAGTATGGAAGTCTATGTCATGAACACATTTATCCAGTGTAGCTATCCCTAGCACCTCACAAGAGGCAGGCAGGCTTGACCACACAGGGTCCTGGACCTTCCCAGAGGCCTTCGGCATCACCTAATTGTAGGAGTGAGTGGGGGCGGGGCAGGGGCCGACTGGCAGGCATTGCCATGATGGACTGGGCTGGACCCATCAGTGCAGGGACCCCACAGATCCCAGCTGGCCCCCACGCCGAGGAGAGAGAGGACAAGGAAGGACAGGGGCCCAGAAGAGGGCAGAGGTCATGATTTCTCCATTGTTCAGCTCTGTTGTTTTTGGGGGGCAACTTCTTTCAAGTTGGGAGAAATTTGGAGTGAGGATGGGTCGGCCTCCCCGAGCCTGCGCCCTGCCTCTAGCTCCCAGTGTGCAATCATCCTCCCTACCCCCACAGTTACCCTGGTATCTGTTGTCCAGACCCTGAACCTGCTCTGGGATAACTGAGGTCCTAGGGAGCCCCAGGGTGGAGGACAGGCATCCAGACAGACTGGGTTCAGGGTCTAAGGCCTAGGACACAGCACCCCGTTCAACTCTCCCGTGCATTGGGCACCAAGCCAACATTCTCTGAGTCTATTAGTCCCTGAGGGCTGCCCCCTTCCCTTGGGCCCTGCCAACAGCTCTACCTCTGGCCTTCGGGGCTATCGGCCAGCGTGGGAGCAGAATTCAGGGAATCTGAGGGGGCGTGCGTGGGTGCAATGAACCCTTGCCCTCTTCTCTCTGCCCACAATGACCCTTCCCCTTCGCTGACTTCACTCAGCCTGGCCTACAGGGAGAATGGGCCCAGTGTGTCCCGTACAGGGCTGTGCCAAGCAGCCCCCAACAAAGGCGCCTTTGGTGTGATTGCTGTTTGAGTGCCAGCCTGTGGCAGGGTGGGGTGTCTTCCCAGGCCTTCCTTAAGCATCAGCTTCTTGCCTCATCCAAAGCTGCCTTCCAGGCCCTGCTGTCTGGGCTTGGCTTATCCCTGGGACTCTGAAGACCCTTCTCCAGGCTTGCTCAGAAATATGCCTGGATGCGGATTGGGATCTATGCCTCTGCTCACAGCAGTCACTGCTCATCCTGAGAGACACTGCCCTTTAATGGCAGCCCTCAAACGCGGCCTCCACTTTAGTGGGGACTTGGGGTAGCTCCCTGGGCCCTGGAGAGCCTGGTGTGGAAGATGGAGAGGCAGCATCGGCTAAGTGGTTCCTGAGTCTCCTATTCTAAAACAGTGCAACTTCTCAAGTCCACGGACCTGGGCCGGCACAGCCTCCTGTACCTAAAGGAGATTGGCCACGGCTGGTTTGGGAAGGTAAGCACACCTCAGGGTGGTGGGAATAGCAAGGCGTGGGCTTGCTTCTCCTGGGAGCCCCCTGGGAGGGCCCTTTCTCATACACACCCCTGACCGGACCACGCACCCGAGTATCCCTTCCTCATCGTGGACCCTGGAGAGGGAGACAAGTGGGAGCCTTGAGATGGACCTGGGCCGAGCGTCCCAGCCAAAGGGCTTGGCGGGATGCTGCACAGCACCAGAGGCACCAGGGGCCCAATGGCCCTTTCCTATGGAGACTGGACAGGGCCCGGTGATGCCTGTCACATCTGGCAGGTGTTCTTGGGGGAGGTACACTCGGGCGTCAGAGGCTCACAGGTGGTGGTGAAGGAACTGAAGGCCAGCGCCAGCGTGCAGGAGCAGATGCAGTTCCTGGAGGAGGCGCAGCCCTACAGGTGCATTGGGGGTGGGGCGGGTCGCGGCCCTACAGGTGCATTGGGGGTGGGGTGGGTCGCAGCCCTACAGGTGCATTGGGGGTGGGGCGGGTCGCGGCCCTACAGGTGCATTGGGGTGGGGGTGGGGCGGGTCGCGGCCCTACAGGTGCATTGGGGTGGGGTGGGGCAGGGATCCGCATGGTGGGAAAGCCTGTGGTTGTGGTAAGGGGAGGGCTGCGCCCCCTCCTGCCCTGCAACTGAGATAGCCGGGGTTCTTCCAGGGCCCTGCAGCACAGCAACCTGCTCCAGTGCCTGGCCCAGTGCGCTGAGGTGACCCCCTACCTGCTGGTTATGGAGTTCTGTCCTCTGGTACGTGGCGATCTGTGGGAGGCAGCGTTGGCTCTCCAGTGAGGCCCGGTTGTCCTGAGGGGAAGTGGGGACCTTTCTGAGCAGGCCTCCTCTCCTGCTCTGCCTCTTGGGACCCCACGACATCCCTAAAGTGGAGCGCCAGCGCGGGCTCACGCGGCTCCTGGGGCACAGCCCGAGTCCTGGGTCTTCTGGTTGCCCTCGGGGCCCCTTTACCTGCACGGCTGTGATGCTAAGAGCCGAGGCTGCTGTATCGGGGGCCGCTGCGGCAGACTTGAGACACGGCTTTGCCGAAGTTGCTGTGAGCACCTCAGGCCACCAGATAGATGCAGGTGCTGCTGCCCACAGCTAGCAGGTTACCGTGTGCTCTCTTGGCAGGGGGACCTCAAAGGTTACCTACGGAGCTGTCGGGTGACAGAGTCCATGGCGCCCGACCCCCTGACCTTGCAGCGCATGGCGTGTGAGGTGGCGTGCGGCGTCTTGCACCTACATCGTCACAACTACGTACACAGGTGAGGGGCGGTGAGACTACACAGGCCATGGCCACAAAGTCCCTGTTCTCTAGCGCCGTGACCCTCAGACAGAACGCCTGTGCATGAGAAAGCGGTGTGGGGATCCCACTTTTAAGGGCCCCGTGAACTGAGTTCATCTACTACACAGCCGCTTGGCAAGGCGTTTTATAATTCTTAAAACTGTGAGGGCGTGGTGACTCATTATCCTGAACCCCAGCACTCTGGAGGCAGAGGCAGGCAGATCCCTGTGAGTTCAAATCCACCTTGGTCTACAGAGTGTGTTTGAGAACAGCCAGGGCTACGTAGAGAAGACCCTGCCTCGAAATAAACAAATAAAAACCGCAAAGACTGACGTTTGGGACTCACTTTGTAGACAACTAAATGAAGAAGCCCACACTGTGTCCTCTTCCTGGTCAGCCACACTTAGGCCCCACACTCAGCCCCAGCCTGTGCGGTAAGGGAGTGACTGGGCTGTCCCTGCAGTGGGAGGGGGTGGCCCTGCCCTGCCTCTGGCCAGGATGCCCAGCCTCCCGTGAGCCGGGGACACATGCTGGAAGAAGTGGCGATGGACAAGTGGCCCTGCCAGCCCCGACGCTGCACAGGCCGTCCTCCCCAACAACATCCTGGTGCTGAGTGATGGCACAGTTGACTCCAGCATCAGTGATTTTGTTGAAGAGGGCAGCTGCCAGCCTCCTGCCCTGCCTGCTGCCTAGCCCCAGCTGCCCTATCCACAGGCCACCCCGCCCCTCAGCTGTCCCCTGGCACAGTCCTCCTGGGGTAGAGGCAGGCCAGGATGGCCCCATCCTCACCCAGAGGCCCTCTGCATCACAGTAGTATGGCAGATGCAGGCACATCCCACGCCACTCTGTTGTCCGTTGCCCCAAACACTCATGTGCCTTCCCGCCAAGCAAGAGGATTAAAGCTGGCACCCCAGGATGCCACTTAAGCGGTCGGTCCATCCTGATCTAGCCCTGAGCCCCAGCTCTGTGCAGCAGGGCAGGGCTACACTCTAGAACATGGGCTCTGACTGCTGGCAAACCCTCCGCGATGCTCGGCCTCAGGTTCCTCATGATTCTAACCTCCTGAGGTCCTGGAGGGGGACTTCAGACTCACAGAACCTCGCTCTATGGCACTGGGGACCCCGGTGGGTCGGTCAGGAAAAGGGTAGAAGGGGTTGGGGTTCTAGTGTTGGTCAGGCAGCACCTTGCCGGGGTTCCTTGAGCATCTTCTAGCCTTATCTTCACTTGGATTGCGTGTTCAAAGTGCCGTCCACGCCGGCGTCCAAAATAGCCAGTGTAGGGTGTGGACCCAGGTGGCCCCTCAGATAACCCTTCCTGTCTGCCTGCCTGGTTATAGGCAGGAACCAAATCACCCAGCTGTGGGTGAAGGACCCACAGCGCTGGCCACACCCTGGCTGGCACGCTTTGCTGACATTGCTTACTGCCCTGCAGTGACCTGGCCCTGAGGAACTGCCTGCTAACGGCTGACCTGACGGTGAAGGTTGGCGACTATGGCCTGTCACATTGCAAATACAGGGTGAGTGTGGGCAGGCCGAGCCCAGCCCGTATGCAAGGGTGGCTGCTGACTGGAGTTAACTCCCACCCTGTCCCCGTGTGCCACAGGAAGACTACCTCGTGACTGCTGACCAGCTGTGGGTGCCGCTGCGCTGGATTGCGCCTGAGCTGGTGGACGAGGTGCACGGCAACCTACTGGTGGTAGATCAGACCAAGGCCAGCAATGTGTGGTGAGTGCAGGCCTGGCTGCTGGGAGGGCCTTGGGATGCCCTGGTGTCAGCTGCCCTGTAGTGGGGGTGCTGGCTTTCAGCTCTGCCCTCCCCCCCCCCACATTTCACTCCCTCCTTTCTGACTAGGGAGCACACTGGCACCCAGGGCTCATGCCTGCCACCAGGTGGCCTCGAGAGATCACTCATAGGCTCCTAGTTGCAACTGTTGTGGTTCCCAATGTCCCTGCTCTGGCAGAAGGGCTGGCAGTTAAAGACCAACTGACACTCACCGATCCTGGGCCAAAATGCACGTTTAGGTTAGACGCCATCATGACGTGCAGGGCCTTGACTTGGCACCCGTGCCCCTAGAGAAGGACATCTGCAGTGTAAAGCGCTCCGGTCCTGGGGAGGCTGCTATGATGGCAAGTATTCGGGGGTTCCATGCAGCCATGCTCAGCCATGTCTACTGTGGCTGCCCCTGCAGGTCCCTGGGAGTGACCATCTGGGAGCTCTTCGAGTTGGGTGCCCAGCCCTATCCCCAGCACTCGGACCGGCAGGTGCTGGCTTACGCCGTCCGAGAGCAGCAGCTTAAGTTGCCCAAGCCCCAGCTGCAGCTGACTCTATCTGATCGCTGGTGAGGACCCCACCCCCTTGAACAGGCTGGGCAGAGGGGCACAGGAGGGCAGAGCTCTACAGATTGGGGCTGGTTGGTCCACTTCTACATGCTTCTGGGTCTCTGCAGCCTGAACAGGCAGGGGGGATCCCAGGAATACCCCACCCCAGACCCCTTCCCGGGCTACTGGGTCTGCTTTGGGAGATCACCTTAAAGTACCCTTCACGTGGGGGACCCGACTGTACTCCTGGCCAGCGTGCCTGTGGACGTGGCCAGGGCCACCCATAAGGGCCTCCCGGCAGGTACGAAGTCCTGCAATTCTGCTGGCTGCAGCCAGAGCAGAGGCCCACAGCTGAAGAGATCCACCTGCTGCTCTCCTACCTGTGCGCCAAGGGCACCACGGAGTTGGAGGAGGAGTTCGAGCGGCGCTGGCGTTCCCTGCGGCCCTGTGGCAGCGCAGGCCTGGGGTCAGGTTCCGCTGGCCCAGCGGCTGCTGCTGAACTCACTGCGGCCTCATCTTTCCCACTGCTGGAGCAGTTCATGGGTGACGGCTTCCACGTGGACAGCGATGATGTGCTGACAGTGACTGAGACGAGCCGCGGCCTCAACTTTGAATACAAGTGGGAGGCTGGCGCCGAGGCATTCCCGCCTGCGGGGGGCGTGTCTAGCCCGGACTCGGCGGCTCGCCTGCAGGAGCTTTGTGCGCCTGACAGCTCACCGCCTGGTGTGGTGCCCGTGCTCAGCGCCCACAGCCCCTCGGTGGGCAGTGAGTACTTCATCCGCCTGGAGGGGGCAGAGCCTGCGGCCGGCCATGATCCGGACTGCGCCGGCTGTGTTCCCAGCCCGGAAGCTGTGACCGACCAGGACAATAACTCGGAAGACAGCACCGCCACCTCTCTTGTCATGGAGCCACTGCTGGGCCACGCACCCCCTACTGGGGGCCTGTGGGGCCCCTGTGACCACCATTCACGCAGGAGGCAAGAGCCACCTTGCCCTTCACGCTCACCCTCTCCTGGGACCCCGATGTTACCAGCTGAAGACATAGACTGGGGTGTGGCCACCTTCTGCCCACCTTTCTTTGATGACCCATTGGGTGCATCTCCCTGTGGGAGTCCTGAGGCCCGGCCATCCCCCAGCGATGAGGAGCTGGAGGAGGGGAAGGCAGGGAGAGCTGCTTACTGTGGACACTGGGGCTCTAACATGTCAGCCAACAATAACAGTGGTGGCCGAGACCCAGAATCCTGGGACCCTGGCTATGTGAGCAGCTTCACAGACAGCTACAGGGATGACTGCTCCAGCCTAGAGCAGACCCCACGGGCCTCCCCTGAGCCGGGCCACCCCCTGTCCCAGGAGGGTCCCAGAGAATCTCTGCCTGAACTAGTAGCAGCCGCCCCTGGTCAGGAGCGAAGCCGCTGCTTCAGCCTGCTCCCTCTGTGTCCTGCCAAGGGCCTGGCACCTGCTGCCTGCCTGGCCACACGCCCCTGGACAGAGGCAGCTGTAGGAGGGGGTGACGACCCCCGGGTGGAACCCAAACTTGTCCAGGAGGCCGAGGGCTCTCCTGAGTCCCAGCTAGCCCATCCTTCTGTCCCCTCCCCATCCCATGAAGGAGCCTCACTTCCCTTGGAGGAGGCAAGCGCTCCCGACATCCTGCCTGCCTCTCCTACACCCGCTGCTGGCGGCGGCAGCTGGGTCACTGGCCCTAAGCCGGTCCTAGCTCTGGACAGCTGTGGCAGTTCTGAGACTATGTCAGGAGTCTTCACTGACCTGTCCAGTGATGGCCCTCACGCTGAGAAGCCAGGCACAGCACCAGCCGTGCGCTGTCTGCAGAAGCAGGTGCAGACCCCCGACTCCCTGGACTCCCTGGACATCCCGTCCTCAGCCAGTGATGGTGGCTGTGAGGTCTTGAGCCCGTCAGCTGCTGGCCGCCCTGCTGGGCAGCCCCGTGCCATGGACAGTGGCTATGAAACAGAGAACTATGAGTCCCCAGAGTTTGTGCTCAAAGAGGCCCATGAGTCAAACGAGCCTGAGGCCTTCGGGGAGCCAGCCTCAGAGGGTGAGAGCCCGGGGCCCGAGATTTTGCCCTCTGACTCCCTTGGTGGCCTCAGCAAGAAGAACCCCTATCGAGACTCTGCCTACTTCTCGGACCTGGATGCTGAGTCTGAACCCACCTTTGGCCCTGAGAAGTGCCCTGGGGTCCAGGCCTCCCAAAAGGAGAAAGACCTGAAGAGCCCACCTAGTTCAGGGCATCAGTCTGTGCAGGCTTTTCCGGGGCCTGAGGGGCCCAGGGAGGCCCCAGACACCAGCCCCAGGGAGGTGTTATCCCCACCACAGCAGCCAGAGGAGCCCTTGCCAGATGGCCCCAGGCCAGAGCCTGTGCCCGGCCCTAGTCATTCCAAATGTTTCCTGTCGACCTCAGTCCCGCTGAGCTCAGAAGGCAATGGCATGGAGTCCCAGGGCCCCTCAGGACAGTTGTCAGAGCCAGCCCAGCCCGGGCGGATGGGGAGCCCCTCCACACCCAGATCCCCACTCTGCCTGGCCCTGCCTGGCCACCCTGGGGCTTTGGAGGGCCGGCCAGAGGACGAAGAGGACAGTGAGGACAGCGACGAATCTGACGAGGAGCTTCGATGCTACAGCATCCAGGAGCCCAGTGAGGACAGTGAAGAGGAGCCACCAGCGGTGCCTGTGGTAGTGGCCGAGAGCCAGAGTGCCCGAAATCTGCGCAGCTTGCTGAAGATGCCCAGCCTTCTGTCCGAGGCCTTCTGCGAGGACCTGGAACGCAAGAAGAAGGCGGTGTCCTTCTTTGACGATGTCACGGTCTACCTCTTTGACCAGGTGGGCTGTCGCTGAGGGTATGTACAGGGCTGGGAGAGGGCAGGCAGCCGGAGTCACACAGTGCTCTGTCCCTCCAGGAGAGCCCCACCCGAGAGACTGGGGAGCCCTTCCCCAGCACCAAGGAACCACTCCCCGCGTCCCTGGAGGGTAGCCCCGGCTCACCCAGTGCCCATGGCCTGCCTCGGCGGGCTGACCACTTGCCCGACAGCTCTACTCCTGAACAGGGTGAGCCAGGTGTTGCGGGCCGGATGGCGATATCACTGTCATGGGAAGCCTGGGCTCTGAATGTCACTGGGGGCTGGGAGGTGCCATAATGCAAGTGACTCACTCGGCGGCCCGACTTGCAGGCGGTAGGTTCCAGTGGGATGACGATCTTCTGCTGGTGCCCGGCAAGGACGCTCTGGTGACTGCTGGCACTGTCCTGGCCACGCCTACTACCCCAGCTGCTCCCCTCTCACGGTTCACCGTATCCCCCACACCTGCCTCCCGATTCTCCATCACTCACGTGTCCGACTCAGAGGCCCAGTCAGTGGGAGGTGAGTGTGGTGGGTGGGGCTGAGGTGGAGGAGAGGGGATTGTGAGGGCCTGGCCGTGAGGGTGTCAGCAGGGAGACGTGGTGGCCCCTGGCCTGTTGGACATAGGCTGCTCACTTGGCCACCTGCCTCCTGGGACCTGCCCTCCCTCTGCCCAGTGTGCCCAGTCTGCCTTCCACAGCAGGCACTGGGCACTGTCTGCTCTTCTCAGCCCTACCCTGTCTTCCCACAACTTGCTAGAACATTCCCAGCACGGTGGTCTCTGCTTCTACTGCCATCTCCTGGCATGCCTCTGATCTAAGGTTCTTGCTAGGCGTCCCTGTGGGAACTTTACCCAAGTGGCGGTGCCACAGCTCACCCTGTCATGTGCCCGCATCAGGGTAGGTTCCTCTCCCATGGCCCACCCTTCTGCCTGTCCCCTTCCCCATCCCTCTCTCCCAGTTACCGTGGCTGTGGTCATCCTCATCCCTGGCAGACAGGGAGACAATTTCATGACCCTGACCATGTCCTCTTTGTTTGGGCCTCAGCTCCCGTGGGACGTTGAGGACACGTGCTAAGCATTGCTAGCTCTGGATCTGGGTGACATGGAGAAATGGGTCCCCCCCTCTCCCGCCCACTACGAGGTCTACCACATTGAACAGGCCTGTTGATGGGCCAGGGGTGGGTGAGTTTGGGTATGTGAGAGCCTGCGTCTGGTTTTCTCTCCACACGCTCACATGGCACCCCCTTTACCAGGCCCGGCAGCAAGTGCTGGGGACCGATACACAGAGGCTTGAGACCCAGGTAGCTCCACCCTTCGGAGGCTGGTGTTGTCCCTGGAGCCCCTGCCACCCAATCCAGGCAGCAGCAAGGATGGCAACTGGACATGAACCGGGACCATCGGCATCCCACAGGATCCTGGAGAAGCAGGCGGACAGGAGGCCTGAATCTAGCCCTGGACGTGTTGGGCCGTGTGTCTGTGCTGGCTCATGGTAGAATGTGTTCTGGGTGGACACCGGGGTTTGCTGCTAGCCCCTGGACAGACCTGTAGCCCCAGGGCCTGTGGGTGTCCACACTCAAGAAGGGCCCTCTGACCCCTAGGTGGCTTCCCACTCCTGGACAGACACCCCACACCCTGCAGCCACGCTCCCTATATGGCTGGCTGTTGGTGGTGGATTGTCCTCAGGCCAGGACCATGCGGTCCAAGGACCTGCATGCCCTGCTGGCTACATTCTGCCTTGTGTTCAGAGCACACTTGGCCAGGTTTCAAGATGGCTTTAAGCCTGCAGGTCCCTTTTGGGTCCCCCATTCCCTTCTCACCTGGGTCTAGGTTTGCTCTGAACAAGGTTGGACCCTGGCCTCCAAGCTCTTATCTCAGAGCCTGTGTCCAGCCTCCCTTCTCCACAGGGTCTGTCTGGATTGTTCTGGCCTAGGTCCTACTGTGTAGCGGAGGCTTCCGGACTGCAGCCGGACTGACTGACTGCCCAGGGTAGTGTGGGCAGCTCTCCCTCGAAGAGCAGTGCTCTGCCCCTTACTCTGGCTAGAGGAGAATAGAATGAACTCTACAGCCACTGTGTGGGCTCCTGCCTGCAGGCGGGGCTGGGAGAGCACAGGGCTCGGGGTGGGCTGTACAGGGAATATTTTTGTAACATGCTGGAGTGAATGGAAATGGGTGATTCTAAGTTATTGTTGCCAAAGACATGTAAAGTATATTGTTGCTTTGGGGGTGGGGCGATGTTTTTTGTTTCGTTCCGTTTTTAGTTTGAGGATAGGATGCTGGTGCAATGGTGTTCTTGTTCCTTGTTTTTTAAGAGAAACCAAGCTAAGAAGAAACAGCCTCTGCACTCGGTGTTTTCTTTCTAGGTCTGTAGCTAACACTCAGGGGGATGGCAGGTGGGGAACCCAGCTGTCACCTCTCCTGTCCCTCAAGTATGGCTCTCTCAGGTCAGACCTCCCAGAGCAGCCACCCGCACACCCCAGCCTGTCCCCAGCCCTGCGGTGGTAGAGTGGGAGGCAGGGAACTGGCAGCTGGACTCTGTGCTCTCCACTCTGCCCTGTCCTGGGGCTAGCCTATGTGCCTGCCTGATGGGTAGGTGGCTCCAGGCCTCTTCCTGGGGCAACCGATAAAGGAGCTCCCCTGGATCCCTGCACCCTGAAACTTCTGTCATCAACTCAGCTCACCACACCCCCGCATTCAAGATCTGAAGAAGTTATAAAGGTGCTCCATCTCAGTTGAAGCAGGGAAGCAGCTGGGGGGCTGGGCTGGGGCCAGGTTCTTCTCTAGGCACAACAGCACAGCTGTGTTCATGATAAATCACTCTCATAAGGGTATAGTGCGCCCCCTGCTGTTCCTGGCCGAGCAAACAGATCGCACACTGCATACAGGTAGGCACATGTTTATTGACCAGACACATACGAACTAAAAAATTAAAAATAAAATAAAAAAAAAATCAGCATGGGAATAGGCTCCCTTCCAGCTACAAGCTGACAGAATGTCCACTTGTGTGTTCAAGGTCCCACAGTCGGGACTGGAGGTGGCTGCCCCGAGTGCCGGCCGGCCCCTCTGTTGGGGCACACCTCCCCAGGAACAGCTGGGATCCAGCCCAGGCTGGGTAGATGTGAGGCATCGTTAGGGAGTGGAGGCAAGGCTGTCTTCTCCAGACAGGAGCACACGGCAGCTACCCTCGGTGGTGTGGGCGGGGACACAGGTGGGCCCATCAGCTGAGCAGAGGGGCTGATCTGTCATTGGTCACTGTTGGTTTCAGGTGAACATTGGCGAAGGGGTTCCTGGGGAAAGAAAAACGGTTTCAGTCTGGGCAGGTGCTCCAGCTAAGCTGTGTCCCAGGCTACACCAGGGACACTCAGTACTGGACCCCAGTGGCCTATTCTTGGAGTCAGGGATGGAGCTGGGTCCTGTCTCAAGGCCTGTTAGTCCACTGTCCCCTTACATGCCCCGCTGGGTGTCAGAGTGGGCATGACACGACTAGCTATTATTACCTTCCCAACTCAGGGTGGATAGCCCTGACAGTGTCCCCAAGGAAGGAAGCGAGGCCTGCTATAGCTTGGTAAGTCCCCACCCCCGGCTGGGCCCAAGGTGGCGATTCTCCCGGACACAGCAGGTCACACAAACCAGCCCAGACATGCAGGGCACCACAGGAGGCACACTGGACACACAGACATGACAGACATGAGGCGCACGTGCCCTGACTCCACAGGCTGGGGATGGACACTATGGGGATGGCTGGAAGGCAGTTTACTCTGCTGGGGGACTAGCCACCTCCCTGAGTGATGGCTGAGCCACCCCAGTGCCCTCAGGCCACAGCTGAAGGACACAAACAAGACTCAAGACAATAGGTGGGAACGCAACAGACTAGCACAGAGGCTGTACCACGCCAGCCCTCCCGGCAGCCTGTCCCGCAGTCCCCATGGGAAGACGCACTCCAGTGGGACCAGCACAGGACAGTAGGTGGGAGGGGCCAGCCAGTACCACAGTGACAGCACAGATGGCTCGTGGACACGGGGACTCGCAAGGCACAGGACTGCACTTCCAGGGAAGCGTGCTTGGTTCTACATCCATTACCTGCAATGGGGTCACCTCTGTGCCTGGTGGGTTCTCAGAAGCCTGGGGGGTTGATGGTAGGCCCAGGGTGGGCGAGCAGCCTCTCCATTCAGGGTCCCCAGGAAGACCTACATAGGTAGAGCCTCACCCTACATTTTCCTGAAGATTTTCTAAAAATCTGAAACACTTGGACTGCGAGGTTTTAGAAGGCGAAGCTCAGGAGGCTCAGGTCCCTGTGGGCTGTGGTGTTTTGTGCTCACTTCTGCTGGGAGCCAGAGATTAGGGGCCACTATCTGCTCTGCTCGTAGCCGGAGCTCCACCCCGTGCCAGGCTCCTGTGCTGCAGCCCCCAGCCCCTCACTGTGGCTGCTTGAGGTGTGAGCTAGGGCCCCCCATCACAGTGAGGGCGCTGGCTGCAGCCTCTGGCAGGGCTAGCTGTCCTTGACCCACTGCCCACTCTATAGAAGGGCTCTCAAGCCTGGCAAAGGCAACAGCTCTGGGGAGATCTGGGACAAGGACATTGTCTTCCTCTTGAGGGGTTGGGACAGAGCAAAGCAAAGAGCAGGCGGCCCCAGGTCCCAGGGCAGGACGGCTGAGGAATTTGCTGACCATGCCTTACTCCTGCTCATCTGGCTCACACCTGAACCCACCAGCTGGGACCAGAATGGAAGTTTGGACCCGGAGTGCCCCACCCAAGAGGCTCTGTTCTTCTCTCCTCCCACAAAGGCACGGGGCCACTCAGGGCAGAGAAAACCATCCACAGATGCCAAAGCCAACGCAAAGTCTCTCTCTGTACATGTTCTAGTTAGCAGAATCCAGGGACATGCTTCCTTTCGAGGACACTCAAGCATTCTGGTGAGATTACCCTGCAGGGGACATGGCTAGCACACGGTGTGCCCAGCAGAGACTAACACCAGCAAGAGAGGACTCAGCAACAGAATCTGCACCAATGGAACAGGAGGACCAGGCATCCGGGAACGGACACATGGCGTTTATGCAGGATCTCTCCCCAGCCCAGCCAGCCAGCCATGAACAACAAATACCAAGACCAGAAACCTAGACAGGCTCAAGTCCCTGCACCAGCACAGCCTGCCTTCTCCGTCTCCATTTACTATTTTCCTCAATAACCACGGAATGAGAATCTGGCCACTGCCGCCGAGAGCGAGTCCTCATGGAGGACCCTCTGTGTACCCACAGCCTTCCATTTCCTCTACCTACACAGGGCTGGGGCACCCCTGGAGCCAAACCAAGGGTGGTAGCAACCCTCCTACAGTCCTAAACCCAGCATGAGCTGTGTTTCAGTGGATACCCCTCAACAACCACAGGTAGCTTTGGAACATCCCCTTCACCCCTGGCTAGGTGAGTTAGAAGGATAGACAGACCATGGCTGGGAAATGATCAGGGGTGACTTGACAGCATTGTGCTGAGTCTGCAAACCCATTCTGAGCTATGTCCATCACACCCAAGTCCCAGGCCTAGCACACAAGGGACCTGGCCCCAGGAAGGGCTGCACCAACCTCCCTGAGCCTTTGCTCAGGTTCTGCAGCACCTGACACCGCCCCTAACTGGCTGAGTGGACCTGGTGGGCAGTGAGGTCTGGCAGGCTTAGGCAGGAGATATAGGCCATCCCAGAGAGTATCCTGGGTGTGCAGTTAGGGGCGGGTGTGCAGTTAGGTGGCCAGCCCAGAGTCAGCCAAGGGCATTTCACCCTCTCAGCAAACATCAGCAGAGCTCTACAGGGTTCCCGTCATAGATGCCCAGGAAAACTGTAACGGCAGGGCGACACACTGTGGGTCTGCCTGAGTGGCCTGGCTGCCCGTGGGCTGGGATGCATCACTGTGACTCGGGGGGGGGGGTAATGACACTCCTGTTAAGGAACACAGCTCCTGGCTTCTCAGGCCACCATCTCTGTGGTGAGGGAAGGGAATAAAACCCCTTCCACTGTGGCAGGCAATGTGAAGCAGGGTCCTCCCCTTGCCCCAAGTGGTCCACGTCTGCCCACTTTCCTGGCACCCAGAGAAAAAGCAGCCTGGCCAGTGTCTTGTAGCTATGTGAGGAGGTGGAGAGAGGCAGAGGCAAGATCTGATGGCAGAGGTCTATCCGACCTGAGTCCCAGGCTGGTTCAGCTGGGCACATTACAAACCCTCAGGACACCCCAGAGGAGCACCCAGGTACATGCTGAGTGACTGGGGGAGGCTGTTCCCCCAGGTCACCCTTTAATTGTGACGGAAGCACCAGCAGGGTAGGAGAGAATGGACCTGGGCCAGCCCCGTATCTGGCAGAGTTAAACCACAAGCTTCCAGGCAGAAGGAAGGTAGGAGAGAGCCACAAGCCCGAGGAGGCCACCAGTGGAAGGAAGGCCCAGCGCCCAGAGCAAGGCAACTTGGCAGAGGCCCCCCGGGCCTGCCGGGCAACAGACTCCTCCTGTGGAGACAGTCCTGACTCAGGCCTGAGGGTCTAGCCATTGCCACTGCAGATGCAGACAGATGGGCACAAAACCAGGGCAACTTACTAACTCTAGTCAGGGGCAGCTCAAAATCTGGCCACTTCGACACCAGCACTGTAAGGAAACACAAGGCTTATTTAAGTAAAGCTAGACGGACGGACGGACGCTGGGAAGCAGAAGGCCAGACAGGATGGATGCCTGGTGGGGGAGTGCAGGCTGCCGGGAAGAAACCTACAGTCGGGCACACGGCTCCACCTGCTGGGCAGAGGGGGGACTACGGGGCACGCCAGCACAGGTAGTCACCCTCAGGTGTCATGGGCACAGCCAGCTGGGCTGGCTCTATCTGCAAGCCTACATTGTCTTGGAATCGTCTGCAGATGAGCCAAGAGACTGAGGCTGGGTTGCAAGCTGGGGTGCACTGAGGTGTGGCGTGGCCCACACAGCCCCAACACAGGCAGGGATCTGGAAAGAGACCAACTCAGTGCAATAAATAAAACCTTTATTCCAACAGTTGACTGCAGTACAGGGCACAGTTCAGATTTTAAAAAAAAGGAAAGGAAAAAGGAAAAAAATAATTTTTTTTAGCACTTTACATCTTCATACAAGTTTGCTGTTTTGTGTCTACATTCATCCATTGCACATGGAATCCCCTGGATTTGAAACTTTTAGCAAAATTAGAACACAGAAAGTTCTTTACACAGGTCCAAGTTCTGGCTGTGTTTTCCTTAAATATAAAATAGGGTCTGCCTGTCTCTCTGTGTCTGAGCTGCTGCGTCAGACTCGACCAGCCACGCCCTAGTCCTCGGCAGGCTTGCGGAAGGGTTTTGCT